CCAGCCCTGCAGGGAGCACAGGCACCCTGGGGAGTGGGCACAGCCGGGAGAGGAAGCAGATTATTTTATGCATGCCACCAGCAATTGAGGATTCTGACCTCTGCTTTTCTGTGACTCATATTCAAAAAATATTTTTTAATAAAACATGCCTCTGTGGTTTTCCAAATCCACAAAGGAGCAATGCTTAGAGCTAGAAGTTGTTATAAAGGGGGGGGGTGTGTGTAATATTTTGGCCCAGTGCAAATTTAAACCTTGTTAAAAGACATTAAAAGTATGCTGAAGTTCAGATTTTCGTCTTCAAAGTGCTCCAGTACAAACAAAGCCTAACACAGAAAACATTTTCTGGAAAAACTGAAACATTCCATGAGTTCCTGATGAACAAAGTCATGGGGTTCAGTGCCTGACATGGCTGTATATAATGCAGCCTCTTAGGAGCACAAGAGAAATGATCCAGGGAAGAGGAGATTGATTTCAAACACCCAACACATCCTCTGTCCAATATCAGCAGGAACCTCCACTTTCGTTCCCATGACTGGCATTTCCTGTCCAGGAAGATTTTTTTCTGTTCAGTTTATACTATAGAGATTAGCTTGGTGTATATTAATTTCTAATTCACTTAATCATTTTGAAGGCTTACTTCCTTCCTTTGCTCAGACCTTTTAGTATCACCAAGTAAGTTCTTTATTTAAATACTTCTGTACCAGGCACAAAACCAGCTAGATGTGTCAGCAAACTCTTCAAAAAGAATTAGATTTTTGAAATGATACTGATGGCAAATCTATCAGATAGCACCAACCGTCAGTCTAAAGAACCTAAAGCAATGTTATAAGCCAAGAATGTTATCTTAAGTAATACACCCATATTACCATAATCTATTTATTCTCCTGCCCAACTCATTTTATTGGTTACACTCCAAAGTGGAAGTTTAATAAACCGTAACCAGACTTTAGAGCTCTTCATCTCTTAACAATTTTTCATGTGGGCTAGAACCAGGCATGTTCATTAATTATTATGAAAAAAACCTGCAATCTAATTAGCAGCAAATACCTGTGCACCTATAGCCTTCCGGCCAGCAGCTTTTCCTTGCCCAAAAGGAAGGTAAATAAAGGAAATGAAAACTTCCCACCAAATGCAGGCACTTCCAAAATCCCAATGCAGCACTCCTGAAGGAGGCAGCATGCATGCACAGTGCTGTTGTCTCTGGCTCAAGCTTCAACCATCATTTACATGGACAGAAAACTCCCATTCTCAAAGCGCCACTTGCCAAAGAAGAAGGGGAGGAGGGCAGAGGAGGTTGTGTCTGCAGCCTGGAGTCAGCATCCACCCCTGTCAGCACATGCCTGTATCCCTGAGCATGCCAGACAGGATGCCCTGGTGACCAGCACCTGTGGCTAGGCCACTGGGTGCCACTGCTGGCACCTCGAGGCTCCTGGGGTGCAGGTGGGGTTGGATGTTGGAGAGGGGTGATGCCAAGCATGGCACTGGGAATGAAAGGCCACTCAACAAGCAGGGATGGACCCAGCAGTGGGATGTGCATGGCATCCTTCTCCATGCAACACACATCACTCTTAACCACCAGCAATTAAATTATATCTATAGATATATTTTAGTGTAGCTATTGGCACAGTATAATTCTGCATCCTCAGTTTCTATCTCCACATCAAGAAATCAGCTTGGGCACCAGAAGGAACATTAATCTTTTCTCTGTGCAAACTGTGGGCACAGATGTCGGCAAGGAAAACAAAAAAGCCTGGAAGTCCTTCTTTTGAGTTAAATGCTAATCTGACTAGTAACTCCCTATATCAAATTAGATACTAATTCTCTCCCTCACAGAAATGAGCTGATTAGCAAACACCAACATAACCCAGCATTAACCTTGCCACCACAAGAAGAAAAATGGCAGGTTCCTCTCTTACGTCTTGACTGTTTGCTGGGTAAAATAAATGACCACCTTTCATTTGTATTAGAAGTTGACTTGTTCTCAAACAAAGCAAACACACAAAGGCCTCGGTTGCTTATTTTACAGCACTGTAAAAGCACGTTTTACAGCTGTGTTGCAAGCAATCTGTACTCATTAAATTATCACTCTGACAGGTTTCCTGTGAAAAGCTGTCAAACGCAAACATTTTTCACAGACGACAAATCATACTTTGCCGGTGCTCTCTCAGACGCTGCTATCTGGAGGGATGGCAGGCTCTCTCTTCCCTCCAGTTATCTTGTTTAAACTCCCCGGACAAGGGCTGGCCCCTCTTGTCGACAAACAGGCACACATATGGTTGGGAAGGGCTTCACAAACTGACCTGCGAGAGCAGCACATGGCTCCAAGGTCTCCCTGGTTCTCATGACTAAGAGCAGAGCCTGCAGAGAGTGTTGGGTTACACAGAGAGGATGAACCACAGACAAGGCCTTGGGATAACATGGCACAGCCAGCTCTGCTCCAACCTGACTGAGGAGCAAGGCCATGTTCTACTGCTTCAACACATCCCAGCCAAGTCCTGCTGATGTCACTTTCTCACTCAAGGTGCTCAGGAGGACGAGCCCCAGGCTGAGGGAACCAGCACTGTGGGAGCAGAGCCACAAAATTTTTCTTAATATCAAGAAACAGTTTTAAAATTTGTCTGTATTGCAAAATAAATCCTGCGCATGCTACGGGCTTTGATGCTCAAAGGAGGATGACATTTCCAATGCAATTAACTTTAAGAGGCAGAAAAGGCAGTAATCTGCGGTAAGGCAATCTACAGCTCTGG